GGTTGTGAAAAAGAGTTCAACGTCTTGAGTTACACAGTGTCAGTTACAGTGTCAAACGAGCGGTTCTCCAAGCAAATAGCTAAAGTCAAAGTCTATAAGCGTCTCTTCTCTTGTCGCGTTATTCTGGGTCGTTCTTTCATCTTCTTCTTGTCTTTAATGTCGCTCAATTCTTAATTATACAGTCCTATCCGGTACTCATCCTTCATAAGGGGTTCAGAAGTCTTCATCTCTTCAGCGTTGTACATCGGTGTCGTTTGGGTAAAGCCGTTAGTCGTCAAGCGCGGTTTCGTCTCTGCCATCGAGCCAGTTAGTTCGGTTCACAAGAAAGACACCTCTTCGTCATTTCACTTTTCTTCACAGGATGTCAATGTGCGTAAGACGCAATGCCCAGGGTTCTCACACCACGTGTCACGGGGTAAATTCTCTTTCTCTCGGGGTCTCCACACTTGTCAGGGGGGAAACTCGTCTCGTCTCTATATCTCGTCCCCTTGAGGTACGGGATCGGGAATGTCACTTTAACTTTACAGTCAAATAAGGCACACACAACGAAATACGTTTCAACTCTCGTCTTAGTCGATCTTTTGGAGCACTCTATAAGACACAGCGCCCTGGGGAAAAGTCCCCAAGACTCTCACAAGGCTGACCCAAGGCTAGCCCAAGACTGGACTGCCTCAAGGCTCGCCCCTGGACTGGACTCTCGACTCGACTCGACTGCGTCTGTTCTGGAGTATTCGCCAAGACCAACTCAAACTCTCTTTATTCATTTTCAAAACTCTAACCAATTACAAAACAGTAAAAAGACTCTAGGGCGTAACCTTCAATCATAAAGCCAATCACACTAAGTACTGAATACGTCATATCTTTTGATTAATCGTTCACTACATTAATAACTACGGATGTCAGAATAGCGACGGTATCTTGTAATTAGTTCCAAACCACTGAGCCAAGTTCCGTCCAAAACTTCAAATAGGCCTACACGATGACAGACATAACACAGCAATTCAGCTAATAATCAGCTAATTAAGTCGGTCAACAGATACGCAAAAACAAATTCATGACAATAACTCTAATGATAACTCTTTCTGACCCTAAACTTCACAGCGCTTCCAGCACCTTTCTCTTTCCGTATTGCTGGGACACTCACATATTACAATAAAATACAAATTACTAAAAAAAATTAGATGCATTTCTTCGAAATTAAAGATCCGAACACTTGTTGCAAAATTCGCATTTGAGTACGAAAGATAACATACCATTGAGACGCATATGATTTTATCTGGTAAAACATTAATATCAATGAGATCTGAAAACAACTAAATTCAGTGACTAGTATGTCATGAAATGTGTCTCTAATCGATCTATCCATCTATCTACCTACCCTCTACACGCCCTGTGTTCATATTCTGCATTCGATTTCATATTTGATCCGTTCCATGTTGGTTTTCTTGAGAATGTTGTCAAATTGTCCTGAGCTGGGTGAAAAGCACTTTATTCTCTGTGAATTTTGTTTTTCATATAATTGTCTCCACCACCCTGTTTACAGACGTTGGTGCAGAAATAGATGAACTGGTCCACGTCATTTAGGTTGTGGTCGTCTATACTTTTTTGCAGCCTGATGGATTTGATGTTTAGTTTCAGAACTGGTTTCCGCTTATGCCTGTATAACTCATTTGGTGTGATACCTTAGACTGTATATCTAGTATGTTTAATGTTCGATTAAAAGAGGGCAATGTCATTGGCAAATTCCAAATCTTTTAATTTTTACAAGAATTTTCATCTAACCTCCGTGTTAGTTCCCTCAGTAACATCGTTCATAATCCAACCCATTACAATTAGGAAGATAATAACGACTAGTTAAGGTAGCGATGCAGGTTTGTGGGCACTTGGGAATGGATTTTTTTTTTGTGCTTTTTATTATTCAAATAGTCGAACATTCTCAAAAAACGATTTTAAAATATAGATAACAGATGCAAACATTTATACTTTTGACTGCTTAGGAAGATTTAGCAAGGCTGTACATAAATAATAACAAAGAAACATGGTGAAAAAAGAAATGACGGGATCTCCATATTATGCACTATATTTAACTTTTAACAAAACTAAAATACATTTAAATTTGGAACTGTTACAGCCATTTTAATTATGAACATTAGCAAACTTCTTACTGAGTGATTTGTTATGCAAATTAGCAATTATCTCAGCTTCTTTTTAGTGCACATTCCAGAACTTTAAAAAAATAGCTCCAAGACGCCTTGACCTTTTGTTTTGAAATTTTCACAAATGATTGACAATGTGTTTATCTTCAAAACGCCGTCAGGGCATTGTTTTTGATTGAACTATGTTACAACAATTGTACAGACAACTAGCCTGGGTGTTAATTTATGCATAAACTTGAAGTAGTGAAATTTGGGCTGCTGCCCTGCAAAATTGACAACTGGTAGACAGTTTTCAAAACGGCACTTTCTTCATAGTAAACAGAGGTACCCACAAACCAATTTCGACAGGAAACAGAAGCATGGTTCAGGATCAATTTTTTTTAAAAATCACTTTTGACCAAAAAAGCACATTTTTGTGCATATTTCAAACTACAGTGTCCTAAAAAATACTAACAAAATTTAAAAATTTATACAATAAGCTTTCCGAAAACATATAGTTTTGTGGGCAAGGGAGGTCATCTTTGTTTCTTAATTAACTAATTAAAATACCTGTCAGGTAAACTGCATCTCTACCTTAAAACAGACATGACTCACTCTACTTCACTCTTAACTTTATTTTACAAGACTGTAGACGTACCAATAATAAACGCATCCTTGGCATTTCGTGCGAGTTCTACAAACCTCGGCGACACAAGTTCTCTGCAATCCCCTTGGCTTTTCAGTGCCGTGATATCTTTGTAGTAAAGCTTTTTCGGGACGTCGGGGGTTGTAGTTAACCATGGCTTTCCCAAACTTCTTCTGCTTAATAGTCATGGCTATGAATTGTTCGTCAGTATCCCACAACTCTACGTTGTTTACGATGTCATTCTGTCATACGCTTAACAGATGTCTTGCGATACCAGATCTGATGCACGACATCGAAGTTTTAGAATAGTTCTCGTCGTTTCAATGTCGAGCACCAGTGTAATACACTGCCAACATGTCTTTAAACGAAGTCTTTAAAATTGCGGCCGATATTCTTCTACATAAAGTACTTGACAACGGCTTCATTGTTTTCTGTTAGTGAATATTTGCTCATCTCATTCTGCATCCTTCGTCAAGATTTGGGAAATGAAATCGCAAACTAAAACTTGTTTTATTGAAGATATTATTTATGTATCGACACAAAATTGAATTAATATTGAGTACATAAGCAATTTATAGTATAAACACTATGTAGCATGAATTTTATAAATAAAATTGCGCAGTATCCTTCCAAATCGTTTCGCGTATGGATTTGATTTAGTGTGAATTTGTTTGTATGACCCACCTCCTACAACGCGGCAGTTATAACGTTCTGCAATGATACTTGTTGTCTTTAATTACCTCACTATGTGTGTATGCCAGGTCACGCACTGAATGTAAATCTCAAAATTACCCAGTCATCGCGTGGTTACTTACAGTTTGCTTGTTGTATGTAAAATCAGAGATTCGATTGTGTATGTCCATTTAATCACTCTAGGTTCACACTATTTCGAGCCGCTTTTTTGGGCAGCTAGCTTGAGAAGATAGAAGACAGTGTGGTTAGCACGTCGTTGATGCTTGTATTTCAGTTATGCATAAAAGTTCACGAGGAAACGGAATGCGAACATAGGTATATAAGTAAATTTCTGGATGATAATGACCTGGATGATTTTCGCTGAACAAATTATGGTGGGTATGTTGTTTAAACCATTCATAAAATGTTGGGAAACATTGAATGATGATGAATCGCGCACACATTCACAATATTGTTCTTATTCTTGTGCATTGTCATCAAATACTACCCTGCTATTTTCTGATAGCATGGTTGCACGTGGTACTAATCGGCCAATGAGAATGCGGTGTCTAAATATATGCAGCGCACGGTGTTATAATAACTAATATAAGCTATATAAATGTTGTCATAGTTCAGGGAAGACAGTATTGATTGATAGACCAAACTGGAAAAGCGCGTCATGTCAATCGTCATTTTGCACATTCGTATGTACATTGAGAACGCGCATATTATACAGCTGTCTGTGTGCGAACATAAAAACAATGCAACTTCCGCTGTAAGCCTATCACCAAGGCAACCAAAGCCCATCTAAACAACATGAGAAACATTTCGATGCGATTATTGGGAAACATGCTTTATAATAAATGATTAAATAACAGAACAGCAAGGCAGAAGATACAGTTTAGTGAAGAAGAAGTTAATATATATTATAAATGAACGCTTCAACGGCGAGTTCTCATTGGCCGATCAGTGTCACATGCTACCCATTTCTCAGATTATTACTGAGCAGTGCTTGGGGACAATGCACAACCGCCCGAACAGAATTGCGCGTGAATCAACAAAATTTAACGTTTGCCCATATTTGTATGGAACGTTTCAACAACCAACGTTGGGCAATCGTGTTCATTTTCAACGGTACAGTTACCTATAAACGTGTTTTCCAAGGCCATGCGACTGTGAGTGTCATCGACTCCCGAAAATTTCATGTTTCTCAAAAGTACCGTTGCACACATTTTCTGTTTCGACATTTTTGGGTTATCATAATTGAAATAAAGGAATACACACTGCCCGACAATACGTGACCGCGTCTCGCCCAATATCACACACTACTGGGTATGGCGTCGTCATTTATTTCCTGATTACATGTAAATATACACATCATAGTTCATTACACAAATACGCCAGTTACATCCATATGACTTACTCTGTCTTATAAACTTAATAAGGAGTAGTCAAACACACACATCATATCGAACTAGCTTATTTGCTCGGATAAATATCCAACTCGAAACTGAGAGCGTCTTGGTGAAGTAGGTGTTGTAAAGTGGTTAGTTATTGCCGTCAGATCTCATTCGTGGCATCGCCATTCCTGACGCAGAAGAGACTACTCGTATTCGATTCGTCGTTTGTTCGATTTTGTTCCCGCACAGAGTTTCTTTTAAAACCCGTCGAAATGTTCTGTTGTACATTAAATAAATAATAAAATTATACGAAGTACTGAATACAGCAGAGGATATTTTAGTCATGTTTTCCACCGAACTGTCTTCTGTACTAGCATCCCTTCCTGTAATTTTCTGTAAGACATAGAGATATTTTAATGTACCTGAAAAAGGTAGGCATACAGAAAGTGTATTTAATCTCACATTTCAATCAATTTTAACAAAATAATTGTGTAATACAAATTGTAGCAATTACATTAGCTAATATCGAAACCAACAGGTACATATTACATAGACATCATATTTACAACGTAACTAGACGTGCCATGCAAATATGTCTTGTTTGTAGTAATTGTAATATCTACATCACATATCTTAATGTTTATGTAGAGCCTTACAAGCCAAACCAATGCAATCCGATAAACAATGTGCATGTCATCGCAAACATTATCTAAAAACATCATAGTTTACTCCACTCGTAAAGCGCAACATTTTAATTGATAGCTGAATCACGGTTACGTTTTTTGGTAACCGCGGCTGAATCATGTTTTATATTCGTTGCCATAATGTGTTGCCGGGAAACCCCGTCATTAGATCATTGTTGTTATGGCAATATAAAATTAGATGAATGATATCTTACCGTTGATGCTAATAGCACAAAGAATGGTGCCCATGCTAGGGCAAACATAAACGTTACCACAATCAGCATTTCCATTACTCGAATTTTATTGCGATTTATTGCGCAATTTACTTGATTGCCGATCACATGTGACCCGTTCCCGCGTTTTTGCATCATATATACAACGATTCTACAATAGTTTATGACCATCGTGATCAACGGAATGACGTAGACGACAGATATTAACATTACAGCATTAGAAATCTGGAACCATCTCGGCGCGTTATAAGAACCACACATGGTCACATGCGTCTCGTTCAATGTCAATCTATGCACTGATGTGTATTCGTAAATCTCAGGAGAGGCTATTACCATGGAGACAATCCACAATATGCAAACGTTCTTCCTCGTTCGTTTTAAATTTTCTATACTCTTTAACTTTAGTACTTGTACGATTGCAAGGTAACGTTCATGAGACAGGATAACTAGACTGTATGTTGAAATGGAGACGCAAAACACGGGCAGGAAATGAACAAGCTTGCAGGCGATTTGACCTGGATAGAAAAACAAAATATTTATTGTCCGTTACAAATACACCACAGTCATAATAATTGACACAAATTGATATACTCTAGATATACAAGTAAATGCAAATTAATTGGTCAACAAATTACACATGAATCCATAAATAAAAATAAACCACACTATAATTATATCAAATTAATTCACAATTTTAATAATCCCTTGTGAATATTATGCAAGACAAGTGGAGTTGGACACTTTGTTAGAGTTGGAGAATGCAATACGAAACATGCGATGTTTTATTCATAACCGACCGACACAAATATGTATTCAAAGTCCCTAGTGCACTAGAAGGTCTACACGATAGACGCGTGGTCCTTACAGATAACGCTACAATCAATATAGTGTTTGTATGTCAGTGCCTTATTGTTATGAGCGTCGTACTGAAGCCTGGGACTACTGGGGATAACAATTTAACGCCACTTACACGCATATTGCTTATCACAAACCATTCTTTAAATATATAAGGAATGAAATGGACGAAATCCCCCAACATATAGTGGGTACCCAAAGTATATAAAAGACTAAGTATGTTGCTGGATTATTCAATTGTTCGATCAAGAAGCTGTCGAAAACGTTACCATGCATATCAGGTTATTTTACTAACCTGAGAAAATACTGGTTGACAGTAGGGTTAAGGAGACATGATGTGTATATACGACAATAATTTTAAATAAATTAAGGTAGAGATGTAGTTTACCTGACAGGTATTTTAATTAGTTAATTAGGAAACCAAGATGACCTCTCTTATTCACAAAACTATATATTTTCGGAAAGCTTATTGTATGAATTTTAAAATTATGTTAGTATTTTTTATAGACACTGTAGTTTGAAATGTGCACAAAAATGTGCTTTTTTGATCAAAAGTGTTTTAAAAACAATTTGCTTCTAAACCATGCTTCTGTTTCCTGTCAAAATTGGTTTATGGGTACATCTGCATACTATGAAGAAAGTGCCGCCTTGACACCTGTCTACCAGTTGTCAATTTTGCAGGGCGGCAGCTCAAATTTCACTACTTCAAGTTTATGCATAAATTAACACCTAGGCTAGTTGTCGGTACGATTGTTGTAACACTGTTCAACCAAAAACAATGCCCGACGGC